AGCGAATTAATTTTTCGATTTCATCAAAACGAAACAATTTTAGAGCCGTTTAAATCCAAATATTTTTGGCTAATGGCCGTCGGCGACAGAAGTCTGGCACTAGCATTTATTCTGACGTCACGCAAGTGAGTCGAATCTTGATGCCTGTTAAGTTATCTGTTTTAATCAGCTCGAAGGTTTTGATCGCTGAAGTGTCTAACTAGTTTTATATTCTAAGTTCTATAAAGTATCATATCAACATAATCAGTCCGATGATTCCGGAGCGAATTTTATACCTGGTTAATATGTTGTATTGGAAGATGCTGATCTGTAGCATCTCGTCAGGTCTCTAGTAATATCATTAATATTACCAAATCTGCGACGCAGACATGACGAAATACTGCCGTTATTATCACAGTTTCACTTCACGGATAAAAACTGTCGTTGGTAAACAAAGTCAGGGACACGAGAAAAACAAAGTAGAACTAGTCTCCAATTTATATTAGCGATTGTTTTTTAGTCGCGCCATGTCTCAGATTTGGCGCATCTTTAATAAGCTTCCTACTATAAACGTAGACGTTCTATGACTTTGCAAGGTTCATATCTCCTGTTCGGTGCATGCTATGAAGACAAAATTACTACCATTCGATTCAGAGAAACGAATTCTCCTTATTTCTAATGATAGTTTTAGTCAAATCAAGTTTTAGTCAAATTGTAGTCAAATAGCTATTTAATGACCTTTGGTCACCTTCAGAGGTCAAGCGGTGTCATAATTCATTATATTACTCAATTAGTCTCGAACAATGTAAAGTAGCCATACATGTAGCCGACCATAACTTCGGCCCCTTTGGACATATCTTTTTTGTAATAGTCTTATTCGAACTCGAATCCAAAACACTATTTAGAGAGTTTTTTTGAAGCTTGTGTCTTCAGATTTGTATCTTTTCGGTATTACAAAATATTTATATTTTTAGCTGGCCGCAAAACCGAAATACAATTGCAAATTGAATCATCAAAACAAAACAAATCATCGTCAATCTTTATTAGCTTCAGATAGTTAGGCTTGCCGAGCCCCGGCAACGAAAAAAATTGCCTCTCGTAATTCTCTGTTCTACAATAATCCGAGCATATAGTCGAAGTCTTTGACGGCACAAACAAACGCTTTGCGCAATTGCGCGTACAAAATCAACCCATAATTTTCTTCGTCTTTTAGCTTCCGTGTGTTCGTCATTGAAGTATGGAATATTGTGTAGACTTATTCCGTCTTTTAAACATGCTTTATTGGTACAGTTAGCTGCAACACAGTAAAAAGGCATATCTTTTTCGATCACAAATCTACCTATATATCCGCCGAGAGTTGATAGTGCTAGTATAGTCGAATAATAGAATATACGCCGACTCACTTGCGTGACGTAACAAAAATCGCTCGTTCCAGTTTCCTTCGAACACGGACGCCTGCCAACCAAAAGCCCAAATTTTGCGTGTTCAAACGGCTCTAACATTTTTTCGTTTTGATGAAATCGAAAAATTCTTTCGCTAGAACACTATACTAAATGAGTACTTTCAATAGACTGAAAAAAATTTTTGTGTCAGGGGCACTTTAAGCATGTAGGACGGGAATGCGACGGCGACGGTAAACAAACTCGTTGAACAAAATGATTGCAGCAGAAAACCTGTCGTCTGTTATCCATCGTATGAAAATAATACAGTTTAAGGATCAAAATTATCACTGGGTTTATGATTGAGAAAAGTTCTAGCACCCAATTTAAAATAGCAGTTGTCCCAGCTTGAAATGTAAGCGTTGTATACATGACGTGATAATCTGTATTTTGCCGTTGTAAAACAGAGCTACGGCGACGTCTAAAACGTCTGTGGATTTTAATTGTCAATTTCTGCTCATTTTCTTGCATTAATATGTTATTAATATGCTGTTTTCGTTACACTTTCGTTCTGCTTTTTGAAGTTCTTAATAAAGGTAGTTAGTTATAATAAAAAAACTGTAAAATTTAAGGCGCTTTCTTGACACGTCCCTGTACTAGATTAAGCTTTGCTTAAGTTCGCTAGTGTTTAAGCGCGGGGCCCCAAAGAGCCCAAGGTCCCAAGAAAACGTTATAGGCCCCCAAGATTTAAAAATCGAGGCCCCAAACGGCCCAAAGTGCGGGAGCCCAAACGATCTTTTTGTTCCCTGTTTTAGCGCGGGATCCAAACAGCGCGGGGCCCTAAAGAGTCCAAGGCCCCCAAAAGCAAAACCTCAAACTAAAAAAACCGCGAGGCCCAAAAGTTAAAAAAGGCAAGGCTCCAAAAAGCGATCGCGAATCCAGAAAATCATAGGGTTCAGAAAATTTCGAAATTTGCAGCAAACTGTTATATTAAATGCTAAAAGATCGCTGAATTTCGTGGAAGGCGGCAGAAGTTTATATGGACGCTATCATGTTTAGCTATTTTTCCCCTATAAATAATAATGTTAATGGTGTAAACTATGAAACTGTGTTGAATTTCAGTTCGATCAAATTATTAATGTGTAATTCTTTCTCTTTTTGTAAATACACAGGAAAATTTTCATTAGGCCAGAAGAAAGTTTAAGTGATGTCAGTATTGTCTAAAAAGTGAGTTATATTGGTTAAAAAATAAGTAAATGAGCAGGGCCTTTCAGAAAGGGGGGCAAAGGGGGCTTCCAGTTTAAGGGAGCCCCAAGATTTGCAAAATTACAAAAAATAATTTGGAACGTTTTTTATTTAGATATATAATGGTATGAGATAAAATTTTTAGACCTAAAAGTTACAGATGTTGGTAAAAATTGAAAGGGTTTTACCATATTTAACAGGAATTAACCCTAATTTAACTGCTGTTCGTACGAAAAAATTTTTTGACTATTTTTTTTAATGTCCGGAAAAAAAATGTTAACCCCGCTAACCAGTATTTTGGGGGAAATTAGGGGCCCCAAAATTAAAATTTGCCCCGGGCTGCCAAATTCCCCTGATAGGCCATGTAAATTGTGCTAGTGATGTGGGTAAAGTCTTTAACAGCCTTCGGTTAACCGCGCAACGCATTCGTGGAGACTGGTTTCGGATTTGTTGCATCCGGGAATTTAAGTTCCCGGACAAACTTTTTGTATTTATATTCAACACTTTTCGTATTTATATATTCAACACTTTTCGCATTTGTATATTCAACACTTTTCGGATTTATATATTCAACACTTTTCGCATTTATATATTCAACATTGAAAAGAACTTGAATAAGTATATTTCATATGTGTTTATTGTTGAATATGAATATAATTATTGTTGTTGAATATAATTATTTTATGTTGAAGTTGAACAAATATATTTCATATGTGTTTATTGTTGAATATGAATATAATTATTGTTGTTGAATATAATTATTCTAGGTTGAAGTTGAATGCAAATATACAGTGTTGAATTTTGCAACAAAATGCCAACCATACGTGACTACGATGGTTGGGTATATCCGCAACAATCTAGGACACCAATTACTGGTCGCCAGACGACAATCACACAATTAAACAATGCAAAGTAACTGACAAACTTTGAGACAACAACAGTTTATAAAGATGGTGAAAGTCCTCGCTCATTTGCATCTCGGGCAGAAAGTTTTAAAAGTTCTTGGATCTTCACAATCGTATAATGCTTTTAATACTGTAAAATAATAGCTTCTCATTACCGTTATGAATGAGCGCAACTTCTCCGTACTTAATTCTATATAATAAATAAATCTAATGTGTCTGTCATGGTATTCCACGTTCTAATAGCTCTGAACCAAAACGATATTTGGAAGTTGTTGTTTTAGACTGTGGAACGTGATACTTTACTGCAGTCATGTTGGTGGTTATATAAGGGAAAAGACCTATAAGACATTACTAATTTCAAATATGGTATGTTAGAAACACTGTAGCTTATGGTGATAGCTGATGATCTTTTCCTTCTCATTATTTTCCTATGCAAGGCAAAGATCGAGCTAGTAAGGCCATGAATTGCTTTATAGAAATGTACCACGTCAAGGTATTCATGGCAGTGACATATTGATGGTAGATGGAGAGTCTGTAATCTGGATGTATAACATGTAGAACTAATGAATCGAAGATTCAGGATGTATTTGGTTGCAAATAAGTTTTTCGAGTTTTAGCATAAGTTCGATACATCGAAGTGTACAGACTTGTGTCGCCGCTACCTTTGCATTGATAAAAATGTACTTCAGTAAATGGTTAGACTTTCGCGTCTTCTCGGATAAGGACGTTAAAATCACAGGTATATTCCTTGGATCCTTTTTTAGATGGGCAATAACCTGTTGGGAAATCCGCTCAGTAATGAGTGAGAAACTCAATAAACAATAAATAATAAACAATAAACAATAAACAATAAACAAAGTGTGGAAGTATATTGCATTTTCACTTTGGCGTAATAGCTAAAACCTATTTATCGTATAGGCGTACGAGCTGGTGGGGTGGAGTTGCTGCAGTCCCCCACCCACCTACCTCCTAATTTGGGAACCATTTTTGCGGTCGATCTATTTCTGTTTCTCGGGCACTGCTTGTAGACTTAATGTCTTCTCATAGACGGAAGCATTTAATATTAGTGTATCACTTTCAAATCTACTAATCCAGACATTAATACTTGAATTAATCTTCAAAATCTGAACGTAAGTGGACGACATTTCAGACTTGCATTAGAAAGTACTTAACTTTACCCTGTTATAAATCAAACATGTATAATTTTATTGGTTTTGGATTTAACATATTGAAAAAATTATATTGTATATAAAATGCTTATGCACATTGATGTTATTTTAGTTTTACTGTTTCTTTAATTAAGATAATCGCCACAGCTTTGTAAAAAGCACGTTTTAGTTAATGACTGATTCATTTTTCAAGTTCGTGTGACGCAGAAAATGTCCGGGCAACAGACCTCCCCTCCCCCTCCCCCAATTGAGATAGGTCGGGTAGGCCCATGCTCTTTATTTTGGCATTATTGTATAGATTACTTACTAGTTTTGAAGGTATGTTACGTACTTACAAAATAATCTCCTCTTAACTTTTTAAGGTTTGGGACTTGCTTAAAGGGAATGAGATCACTGCGCTTGATGATGAAGAGAGTACTAGCTTTGATAATGCAGCTAGGATAGTTCGCTTCAGTTCGGACAGTAGGAAAATTATAATTGGATGCACAAACGACCGTGTTTTCATCTGGGATTGGCAGAACCATGATGTACCTTTAAAGAGTGTCACCTTACCCGCGGTCAGAACAGTGGAAATAACATGCGATGGGAACATGACTTACACGTGCAGCGAGGATGCGACAGTTTGTCAAATCGATCTCGGCTCACTAAAAGTATCGACTGTTTGTCAAGGTCGTATTCCTGTGGTTATAACGCCGGACGGCAAAGCTATATTGTTTAGGAAAGTTTCGGATAATTCACTGATTTATTATGAATTTTCAACTGATTCTGTGGTCGCATATATTGAAGGTAGGTAGATACGAAACTAATTGGTTTGTCATTAATATTAATTTATATATTGGAAGACAGTAGCGGGATGGGGGAGGGAGCGACCCCTCTCGCCCTACCCCAATTAGTTTCTGAAAACGTTAGCGTGGTAGTGTACTAACCGTGTTTAACAAAGCGGCAACAATAATTTCACAACCATGAAAGCATAGGTAGGCTATACATTAAGCAGGAACGGATCTACCGTAGCGGTGCAATGGGGTGCCTATAGTGGTGTCTACCACCTCCCTAGAAAAATCCAGCAACACCCTAAAAAAATCTGCTTGACGATACATTTTCTGTTTTCCGAATAGCGATTAGTGGTCTGGTCTACTGTTAGAGCGTTTCGATTTGAAGATTTTTTAAACGATTTATTTTTTTCTGTGCTCATGAGAAAATACGGAGAATGTTTAGTTAAATATCATGGTTAAATATGTAATCATGTCGAGGTTGTTATACAGCCGTATTTTTCAGTATACTGTACTCAAACAATCAAATTTACTGTACTGTGCTACAGAAACTGTCCAATCACGAATATATACGTGATAAAAATCCGATATAAACTTTATAAACGAAAGATAATGTAAAACGTAACAGAACGGCAAACGTGCAGATTCGCCCATCTCAAATAGTGGTAAGGTTGGGATCGTGGCGTTGCAGACTGCAGGGAAGAGTGGACAGTAAGGCTTCCTTACGCACCACCTCCATGGAAAAAAACTACATTTGAAGTTGTAAAATATGCTAAGCTGTGTATAATGCTATAATTCAACCCTATTTGAGCTACTGTTGTGAAGTTTGCAATGTATTCGGCGAAACTCAATCAATACGTTTACAAAAACTTCATAACAGAGCTGCTCGTATTATAGAACATGTGCCAAATGAGGTAGATCAACAAACAATACTGAATATATTACGATGGGAACCGCTAAAACAACAAAGAGTAAAAGCCAAAGCAAAACTTATGTTTAAAACGCTCAATAACATGGGACCAAGTTCGCTTAAAGAATTATTTACTTTCAAAACGGAAATATTAAACCACAATCTTCGTAATAACTCAAGTTCAATACGTTTGCCAAAGCCAAATGCGAACAACAGTGAAGAAAAGTTTTATGTACGATAGAGCTTCTATCTGGAACTCCATACCACAATATATAAGTAAATCGATTTTTTGTTTTAAAAGAAAAATCGCTACTCTTACCTTTTGAAATAACATGATTCATGAATCTTGCAAACAGATACTTTTTGACTATTTATGTATTACTTGTAACTTGTAACTATTTGTAAATATTTTACACGCCCATTGTGGAAACCAGCTGACAGTGTTAGCGTGGTTAAATAAAGTTATCATCATCATCATCAAGAAGGTGGCAACCTAAATTAGCCACCATGCACCATGCATGTACATGCATAGAATAGTTGCGAACTGCGAAGTGTCTGCCACTGCGGAAAAACGCACGAGGGAATGATCACTGTAAACTTTGAGTGTTTAAATTTATTTTTCTCACCAAATATCATTCATGCCCAAGATTATTGATGAATACATTCAAACGTTTTCTTCAAGACGAATCACAAGATATATACAGCATTCGCGTCCATGTCGTTTAAGATGCACAACGACTTGACTTTGGTGCATGTTTTTGTATCTCAAGCATGCAAGACGGCCTGGCCCATGCTGTATATATGTACAGGGTGTCCCAGAAAAAAATACAGTACCTGTATTCCAGCTCATTGTTGGTGGGAATCGAAAATTCAATTTAACATATTTGTCATTTAAAGTGAGGGGCTATCAAACCATAAACCTATTATTAGAAAACTTTGAGTATGAGTACGACTACAAATACGAGATTTGTCACTTGCGCGCCGCGAAACATGCAATGGACATTTAATAGGATATTTTAAAACAGTCATTAACATCGGTTCTGTTAGACAGATTTTAATAAAGTTAGTGTCAATTTTGTCAAAATTCGATCATCTCTAAGATTAAATTTTCGATCGATTTCCACTAATAATTAGCGATGTAGAAATCTAGAACATATAGGTATTGTATCTTTTTGGACACTCTGTACTATTTGTACATCGACTTGTACTCCCTAATTGGTTAACTCTAATGCAAGAGAGTTCCATTCACGAATGCTTTAAATAACTGAAAATGTTTTACCACATTCAGGTCATCCTGACGCCTCGATAATTACTGCAATTGACATCACAACAGATGGAAAATTAGTTCTGTCAGGAAGCAGTTCAGGAACTATATCTCTGGTGGACTTGAAGAGTTCCAATGTAGTTCAGACGTTCGGAGTGACCGAAGCTGGAGTCGGCATACGTTTGGTTAGCGTATTAAGTGATGTGGCCCATTTTGTATTTGTCGACGAAGGAAACAGAGTCGTATTGCGAACTTTTAATAATAAAGAGGCTGAGTTAGTATTGGATCAACCAGCTGTTAAAGTGACCTGCATTACTACTCATAGTGGAAAATATGTATTCCTTGGTTGTGAAAACGGAGAACTGTTATTGTTTGATATATATGCTACACAATATAAGTATAACCATCAAGCTCATTCCGAAGCCGTTTCTCAAGTTAAAAGCAACCCAACAGGTTTCCTTCACTTGCTTGTGTCGGGGTCTGCCAGCGGGCGTGTAACACTTTGGTGTGTTTCGAAAACCGTGCCGCCTTTGTGGAGCCAAATTTGGTCGCACGATAACGTTTACCCGCATCTCATTGCTGATGTAGCATTTGTGCCCCACTCCGAGGACATCGTGATTGGTTCTTGCTATGACAGCAAGGTAAGTTAAGTTTGTTTCTAATGACACTATATTGACCGCTTTAAAGCCTGAATTTTATTTGGTCGAAACTGTCGTCAGCAAGTCATTTTCGACGATGTAAAATAATCAGCATATATCTTGTCTTTTGTGTGGCTGCATGTGAATCATTATTTACTGACTTTAGAGATATATGGACACATCGGTCTTCTTGATTTGTGTACAACAGCTACGAATAAATGGAAACTAGGGCACGGTTGTTCGAGAGCCGATTAGATAAGTCGTAGGTTAACAATCCTTAAATTGATATTTACGTATAAACTTTAGGACGTTTTTCTTTCCTCAACCAATAAAAGTTTTATTGCAATTTTGAAACAGATGGACGTGAAGAACTGGACAAAAAAATTATCCAATTTTTCCATGATGTTTTACAGAGAAACGTCACAACTGCCACCCCTTCACCCCGCCTCCAAACAAACATATGACGTTTCTCGTGGACAAAATCGATATGTGAGGCTTTCCTAAGTATTTAAAAGCACGCATTGATGTGCACGTATGCATGACGAGAAAATTCTCATGCACTGAATGCAGCTGCAGGCAGTGATTACGGCTCTATTCGAGGACTTGATATCAGTCCCGTACCCCTACGAGTGTACTAGTATACATTTAAATTGCGCTCATGTGCATAGGCGAGAGAAAAGGTACGAAATTAGAATCTATAAACAATCAACTATAATACATGGTTGGGTATACAACGGAACGGATATGGGGTTAAAATGCTGAATGGAACGAATATAGGGTTAAAATGCGGAACGGAACGGATATGGGGTTAAAATGCGGAACGGAACGGATATGGGGTTAAAATGCTGAATGGAACGGATATAGGGTTAAAATGCGGAACGGAACGGATATGGGGTTAAAATGCGGAACGGAACGGATATGGGGTTAAAATGCGGAACGGAACGGATATGGGGTTAAAATGCGGAACGGAACGGATATGGGGTTAAAATGCGGAACGGAACGGATATGGGGTTAAAATGCGGAACGGAACGGATTTGGGGTTAAAACGCGGAACGGAACGGATTTGGGATAAAATGCGTCATTTCAATTTAAACTTTACCAAAAATTTTAACCACAAATTCAGGTTTTTTGCCTATTTTTTAACGTTTCTGTGTTTTTGTTTCTGATGTGTCAGGCCTGTTTCAAACGTCGCGCTACTCATGTGCCGAACGCATTAAAAACAATAGATAACGCAACATCTCGCAATTTAAATTGTTTCACTTACCACCAAATTTTTCATATTTTATATTTTAAAACTTAATTTGCATTGCGAGCTGTCGCTAAAAGTATCCCCACGAGGCTACTGATATGCTAAACTTATTTAATACGATTATTCCCATCAACCTTTTAGCGCCTGTATTGCACATTTGACAATTGTCTCAGTCAACCCTTTAATTGAAATAGTTATATAAGATATGTTAGGAATAACAAGCACTACGACGTTGCATTCTATTACAAAAAAACATAAATCGAAAACACAGAAACGTTAAAAAAGATGCGAAAAAACTCAATTTGTGGTTAAAATTTTTGGTAAAGTTTAAAGTGACGCATTTTATCCCAAATCCGTTCCCTTCCGCGTTTTAACACCAAATCCGTTCCGTTCCGCATTTTAACCTCATATCCGATCCGTTCCGCATTTTAACCCCATATCCGTTCCGCATTTTAACCCCGTATCCGTTCCGTTCCGCATTTTAACCCCATCCGTTCCGTTCCGCATCCGCTTCCGCATTTTAACCTAACCCCACACCCACCTTCATCTAGAAAACTTAGGACCCCCCTCCAACATTTAATTTGTTACATTTTTGGTATAAAATAGGTAATGGGACAAGTACTGGTATAAGACATTGTGTAGCCTGAATATTTAGAGGACCGGTATTCAAAATGTTTGTGATTTACTCCGACACCTATGGTGAACTGCACTACGTAATAAACTATGGAAACTACGATTATAGGAACCAAAAAAGGTGAAATATTTTGTGGGATACGATAAAGGCGAGAGATTGAAAATGAGTAGGAAAGTATTAAAAAATTGGGGTCGCCCCTTATCACATATTTTTCAGTTTGAAACCGCCCCAATTCAGGCAAAAATAGTTGAAGCCGCCCCCTTTTCCCCACCTACCGCCCCCTCCCATTATTAATGGCATGTCCCTTAGTTCCCGTAAAAATATTTCAGTTCCACGACATGCTAAGTGAAAGTGAACGATATCGGGACGCAGCAAAAGGCCTATGACTATTGGGAAGCCTGACTGAAACATGAGAAATTAAGAATACTGTATATAAAATCTACGGATCATCATAATCTACGAAAAATATCCATGCTCTACATGGTTCAGTTAAATAATCTTTGGCACGACAAAAATTTATAGGCCGTCTCCTCTTCTTGTGTTAATTTCCTTGCATGATGCTACTTGTAAGTACATACTAGAGTTTGTAATTTCTAGATTCTAAGTTGACAGATGCATTTATTCCAATTCCTTGGCTGGAAATTTTACAGTAAAGGCATACAAGGAAGTCTCTCGTTTCCCCCGCCACTTTTTGCAACCTTTCTTTGCAAACTTTGGAACACTTCGAAATTAAGTTCACAAGGCAATCATGCAAATTTCAATGAAAATTAACTGATCAGACTGATGTAGCCTACATTTAACTGATGCGAATTTTAATATATAATTATTGAATCTTGCAAAAATTTATACAATGCGCATATTTTTAAATTGCTTGTTGGGGGTAATGCCCCAGTGCCTATATACGTATTTTGGAAATGCCATTCCCGTGTGCTAATATTCGTGAAAGCCGCTGCAATTTTACAATTCCCAGAGACCCGCTTCACGTTATGTCCACCACTGGTCAGTGATTTGATCAGTCGACCGTAAACCATATGGTTTGATTGTTCTCCCAGTCGACTTCACTTCCTTTAGAAATTTGGCCGAAAGCAGTATTATTGTCGTCAATATAAGCGAGCCTGAATATATGGTAAATTGGCGATCATACTAAATTCTGCGGGAGCATAGAAGGGGATGCAAACTTTGAATGGAAAATGTTGCATCGTGTACGAAGGAAGCCAGGTTTCGGTTTCCTTTTGAAAGAAGAAATGTTGTTCATCTATCTAGGTGAATGACGGGAATGGCAGTAACTGTATTTAGTTTAATCTTTGCAGGGTATATCCTCAGGCTACGAGGATCATCCAGTGCGAATGGCACTGGTCGTGTGGAAATATTACACAATGGACAATGGGGAACAGTTTGTGATGATAATTGGGATACAAATGATGCTGCGGTTGCATGTCGTCAACTTGGATATCAAAATGCTGTTAGAGCTCTTCAAGGTGGTCAGGTTCCTCGTGGTTCCGGACAGATATGGTTAGACGAGGTCGCTTGTAGTGGTAGAGAACAAAATTTGAGCAGTTGTTCTCATAAGGGATGGGGAAGTCATGACTGCAGCCATTCAGAAGATGCTGGAGTAGAATGTTCAGGAGGTAGGATTATCGGAAAATGTTCCGCATTTTATTATTTTTTCATATAACTGGCAGATACATGCAATTGTGCCCACAATCATGCAGTCCCGTATTTTATGATTTCTTTGACCTTCCTGGAATATTCTGAATGTTGTTAGTCAATAATCAGTGCCACATTCATTGTACCTGTGGTGTGGGAATAGGAGGCACTAAAGGAAAGTGCCTCGAAGCTAAACTCGATCTCAAAATCTCTTGGCGCAATTTGAAGTACCCCCTCCCCCCAAGACCAATGATTGTAAATTAAATCTCAATAGATGATAAACAGCAAAATAAACCCCATCCCACTTAAACAATGTTGCTGTACAGAATCACCTTTTCACTCTCAACGCTGCGTTAGCGTTACCAGCAAGCTATTTGCGTGCGAATGATCAGTGGCGTA